CCTAATAAATTTTTTTTTTTTTTTTTTTTTTTTATAAAAACTAGTAATGAGTGAAAAGAGTATGCTGTCTGTGTTATAGTAAGTACACATAAGCAGGGGCCTGGCACTGCTGGGTATGGGTTCTCACCCCAATCCTTGGTCTTTTGTCCATAGTGCCTTTTTTTGAGCAGGTATCATCCTCAGGGTACCAGTTTAGCCTCCACTGAGTCAGTCTCTGTTCTTAGGAGCCGAGGAACTTTTTACCCTTTGGTCTTACCCGGGGACCTGGATTAAGCCTTAGTGCACTACCCATCTAAATGCTGATTACTTTAGATGTCAGTCCCACGCCCTCTGTTTCCATGAGTTGGGGTTTTCACATGACCTAGGAGACCTGAGGAGTCCTCCTCAGCAGCTTGATCTATGCTGGTGTTTCCTAAGCTTGCATTCCAAACTAGATAGAACCTAGAGGCCATCTGTCTGCTCATTCTGATGAGTGTTTCATAAGCAAATCAGACTACATGTTCCAAACACCTAACCAGACTCCACAATCACTTTTTGCACAGTGGCACTGCTGCCTCATCTAGTTGATTAGGCCACAAACCTGTGTCATTCTTGACCTCATGTGTTCAGTGCTTCAGCTGGTAGGTCAACTCTCCTTTCAAGTCTGCATTTTCTTTACAAGTTCTGACCCTGTCTCTTAACTTGACTGTTGTGTTAAACTGATGTCAAATCTTTCTTCTGATAGCCAGAGCTATCCTTAATATATTTCATATCATGTTTCTCCAGGTCACTGGCTTCAGTGAGCCTGGAATACAATCTGAAGGCCAACATACAAAGCTCTACATATGGCATCTGGTGTACCCTCTGCTTTTGAGGTAACCAAACTTAATCCTGCCTTGAGGTCTTTGGTCTTGCTGTCCCATTTGCTTGGATTGCTCTTCCTCCAGATCTTAGCGTGACTGGTCTCTGGAAAAGTAAGAATCAGTTTGTGTGAGCAGTCAGTGTTCACCCTGTTACTCATTATCCAAGGTAAGAGATTTTGATAAAACCAGGATTATTAATAGGAAATAGATTTCCTTCCATAGTCACCATGCAAATGTAAGTTATTCAGATGACCCCTTATTTGAGTGTTTCCTTTTAAACTGAATCCTTATTTATTAAAATTATAGGAGTCATTAGTAAAAGGGACACATCCTGATCTCAGGACAATGCCTTGATTTACAGCCTAGATGCAGAGATTCAGATAAGTGTCTGAGACTCTGCATTCTGCATTCTGGTTTCCAGGGAAATAGGATCCTGGTCTATTTCACAGTTCAGACCTGACATTGAATCTAGTCTATAGCCCTTAATGTGTGCCCATCAAAGTACTTCATGTAGATTTCACCTAAACACTTTCCACTAAATATTGTATTAACCTTGTCTCTCTGCTGAGATGCCTCCTGAGTCTTTGTGTAGTCCTCTTTATCACAGTGAGCTGGCAGACCAATTGTTGGGCTCTCTGTCCATTATTAACTTCGAATGAGAGACCAGGACAGTCCTTACCCTTTGGATTGTATTATCACCTGCCACCTTTTCCCCACCCTGTTTCCCATGGTCTGTTTGACCCTTTTTCCTCAGCTCTGGTTCTAGGAGTTTGGAAGGCCTGAGAAAAGGAGAAACGAGGGGTAGATTGTCCCCTTTTTCCTTTTGTGTTATCTCTATGGTTAGTGTTAGGGATAATGGTTAGGTTTGGGAATGGGATTAGGGTTACAGTTCAAGTTAAAGTTGGGTTCAGATTTGAGTTAAGAGTTGGGTTAGAGTTAGGGTTTGAGAAGGGATGGGTCAGTGGGAATGCCCATGGTTTGGAGGAACAAAGAATAAGGGAGCTGGATGAGTGGGCCAAAACTTGCTTCTCTGGAAATCCCATGGTAAGGATGGGGGTTTTGACCTTTGGTGAGTCAGAGCCTTCTGGGGATTTGGAAGAAAAAGATGTGACTGACTTTAAAGGTCTTTCTAATTGCTGGGTTTAGAACACTTTTCACTTATTTGCCATATGCCTGGGAGCAGCTCAGCCTCAACTAAATGGGTGTAACTCAGTAGCACTGCAAGGAAGCTGCATTCCTAGAAAATCCAGAATAAGTTAAGACTGCCAAAATATTATTTGTATATAACAAGCCTATATTCTTAGCATGTGTGAGGCTGGCAGGACCTGTCTGTGGTAGAAGAACACCCAGGGGCACTCACATCCACAATCCCTAACCCATCCTGTACCTGCACTGTGCCAGTAAGTGCAGATGGAGGACATGTTCAAGAAGGAAGAACACTTGGAGAGGGGGATGGCAGAGGTATCCATGCAGAACAGGTGCCTGGAAGATGCCCTCCAGGAAGTGCAGGACCAGAGAAACTACATGCAGAGAAAGCTTGGGAACTACGAAAGGGACAAGGAGGTTCTGGTCGTGATTTTCTTACTGAATTCCTCTCCTTTCTTACCAGGTGCTTTCCTGGGCTCAAGAGGGAAGCACATGGGGCACTTCTGGAACCTAAAACCAGGATTGGCCCTAAGGGCAGGAAGAGAGAGATAAGGAGCCTGGGCTTTCTCCTGTAGCTCTTCTGCAGCTGCAGTGTGGGTGATGAGGCCCTAGTGCTCCATGTGTCACACTGACCAGCCTGGGTAGGGCCTGGCTGCTGGAGTCTTCCGGCCTCCATTGTTCCTGATGATTATTTCTGGCCTTGTCATTTTCTTGTTTTACATGGATGCCTGTGAGTCCTGAATAACTCTTGTTCTCCAGTATATAAAAGCACAGTTGAAGATTATTGAGAGACAATAAGGGTTGGATGGAAGACTGGGTCAAAGAGAGCCTACTCTTCCCTCCACTGGGGAATGCAGGGCTGGGAGAGTGGGTTGGGCGAGAGGAGCATAGGTTCTGTGAACTATTAAGAGACCAATCTGACAGGACTTGTTCCTCATTGAGAGTCTAGGAGGGTCCAAGATGATGTGCCCACACTTCTTGTAAAGGAGAACAGTTGTTTACCCACAGAGGAGTAGTAGCAGTGCCTGTAAGACCCTGGTTACTGGGATAAGCTGGATCTTGGGCCGAGGTTGGGGTAGCCACACAATAAGGGCCTGTGAGGGCCACAGCAACAAGGCCTAAGATTGGAGGCTCAGCTTTATGTCTGCACCCTATTGGGCTCCTACTCAGGAAGGGCTGGTCACCTGGAGCACAGGCAGGTGGGAAGTGAGGTCCTGCTGTGGAAAGTGGAGGGAGGGACCTTCCCTCCCCTTGAGAAGGGCAAGCTGACATTGAGCTGGACACTGTCCTTTGCCTCCAAGCAGCTAAGATGGCAGCTGATAGTCATAGCCACCATGGTCAGGGTCCAGTTGGCACTAAATGTGGGCCAGTCCTTGCCTTTCCTGGTCATGGTTACCCTGTTTTATGGGTGAGGAACCTTCCAGGGAAATGACAATGTCTTCCTGCAGGGACATTTTTCTCAGACTGGGCCAGTAAGGGTTTGAGGGGCTTCTCTGGGCTGTAGTCTGTTGGTGGCAGGCTGGGTCTAGTTTTCAGTCTTGTACCTGCAGCACCCCTCAGGCAGAAGCACCAGCAGCCTCACCATGTGGGGGCATCTGAGGGGCTAGGACCTGCAGACCCAGGCCCTCAACAAGGGAGGATGAGGAAAAAATGCACGCTGTGCTACCTGCATCTCCATGAAGAAGCTGTCTGGCCTGGGAAGAAATGAAGATGCACTTGACAGAAGCAGGCAGCCTCATGATGGAACAGACTTGTCAGTGAAAGCTGTTCATAGATTTTTTTGTTTGTTTGTTTATTTTGGGGATTGAACTCGAGACTGCATTTGCAAGGCAGGTGACAGAACCACCGAGCTAGATCCCTGGCCCTGTTCATACATTTTTTAACTTCTTGAATCATGTGACCATGTTATCACAATTATCTTAAATAAAAAATAGTGTAACTTTAAAAACTACTGTGTTGTCAGGTCGTCATTCACACTGTCTGCCTCAGCCAAATGATGAATCTCAATATCATCTCTCCTTAGGATGTTCTGGAATTAAATGTCACCATCAGAGACTTGAAAGGTACAGATGTGCCCCTTTGCCTCCTTCCTTGTGTCTGTTTCCACCAGCTTAGCCTCAGCCTTTCAATATCCTAACTGGTTGATCTCTGAGGAGTACACCTGTTTCTGCTTCATATCTCAGTTGATGAAGTGGGTGTTACTGTCCCCATGTGGTGAGGCAGACACAGCTCAAGGCATCTGCTCTGTCCCCGGATCACTAGGCCTGGCATGTGGTCTGGGTCTCAACGCGGTACTGTCATGGTGCCTGCCTATTGCATGCTTGGGGCTCTGCCATCTTCTGTTTCCTACTCTGCCTCTCTCCTTCACCCAACAGTGCCAACCTGGCCTCTTGGACAATTGTAGCAGCCTCTTCTTGTCTCCCTGAATAATGTCCACTGTCCTCAGCACAGGACAGTTGGGGGTCTACCCTTTTCCAACTCCATTTCAAATTTGAGGCAAATTACACACCCTTTCCATGCTGAATATGCACATAGCAGAATCATGTGAATTTCATGGGGAAGGTCAGACCCCTGAAATGAATGCCTGTACCCCCAGCTGTTGTCTGTCCCATGCATCTGAGAGATGTCTGGGCTCTCTACCCAGACAGCTGCTCTGCCTATACTTTGCCTGCTATCTGCAGAGAATTTTACCAACATCAGCTGTCCTACAAGTCTGACAGTTACACCCTTAATTCTGTGTGGTAGACCTTGCATTCTAGTTCTGTCGCTTGGGGCCATATCCAGACATTCTTGTCATTATGGCTTAAGAACTCAGGATGCAGACATTGTCTCCCACATGTTCCCAAGTCCCATGGTGCCTGCATCACTCTGGTCTTTCAGCCCTCTCTAACCACAGGCTGGGCACAGCTCTCTCCAGCCTCCTGTCTATCCATCTCATCTTTCCCTTAGATGCTCACTTCCAAGCCCAGGGACTTTCTATTGGAACTTGATGGGGATAGCTACGCTTTCGAGTGTTTGCTGAGTCAGATCAGGCCCCAAGCATTTCATACAGATCAATTTATCAAACCTTCACACCACTCAGTAAAATATGCCCTTTAAAAAATGTGCAAAAATTTGGTGAGGACGGTCTGGGGATTTAGCTCAGTGGTTCTGCCACCCGCTTCACAAGCACAAGGTCCTGAGTTCAATCCGATACCTATATTGGGGATTTAGCTCAGTGGTTCTGCCACCCGCTTCACAAGCACAAGGTCCTGAGTTCAATCCCTGATACCTAAATAAATAAATAAATAAATAAATAAATGGTGAGCAAAATTCTCTGGCATGGTGGGTGCCAAGGTGTTTATCTCTGTTGATCTCCCACCCCACCCTCCTGTGCTATTGTTCTCTAGGGGCAGATCAGGTAACTTGGACTTGTCCCCATGGAGGCCCTGCTCCTGAGAGAAGATGTAGAGTTGTGGGGAGTTACAGGGTGCTGCGCCCACTAGGGCACAGATGCTGTTTGACAAGGACGAAGAAAGAATGAATGATGGCCTTCACTGAGAAATGCCAGGTGAGTAGCAGACCACCGAGGCCACTGTGAGTCTATCTTCTCTGATTCAGTGTGCCCATCATGAGGTATTTTGAGTTAACACATAAAAGTGTAGCAGTGTCTGGCACACAGTAAACCACTGACAAATCTTATTTATACCATGTTTCTGGCTCAACCCCTCCCATCCTCCTCCTCCATGGAGAGGAACTTAGTTCTGGTTGGGCCAGAGTATATTGGTCATACTGTCCAGGCCCAGGTGGATTCCTTCCTTCCTGACACTGCTCTGTCCCCTGCTTCATATCTCATATGCTGTGCTCATAGGAGCCAAAACTGTTGGCCTGTGAAATCTCCTTGGACAATGTGTGCTTCAAGCCCCTAGAGATAGTTATGATTGGGTAGAGATTGGGCCATGGGCATCTACTTGCCTGGGCTACAGCTCACAGGACACGGCTGGCATCACTATACAACTGACAACCCTTTCACACCAGGTCTGCAGACCTTCATTTTTTTGGTATTTCCTCAACAGTACATGAAAGTTTTTACATGGTCCCTTTATATGCTCTCATCTGCCACTTTGGAGAATAACCTCCTACCTCCACCCATAGCATCACGGTCTGCCTCCTCCCTGGGTGCATGTCCAGACTGTGCTGTGACCACTCCTCCCAGTCCTGCTTCTGACTTCAGCAGAACCTCTGAGGGCCCCTCACTCACTAGGGACCTGGGCAGCAGTAGCAGAGCTCTGGCCACCCACACATCACTTCTGCTCCCCCACACAAGGCTCCTCTCACTGTAATGGGATCAGCTTTGCAGATGTCAGCACTGACTTTATTGATACTGAATTCACAGTTGGCCACTGAAAAACAGACCAGAAGCTTCCCAGGAAGTGGGTGACCTGAGTGCCCCATGTAGATCATGAAGCCCACCCACTCTTTGGAGGGTTGGGTGTGGCTCAGAGTGAGGGAGGGGAAGATGGTCCTTTGGGCTTTGCTCAGCTCTAGCTCCCTCGGTAGGTGGTGTATGACCATGGGCTCAGCAGCAGGGGCACGTGGAACTTCTGGGTCTCATTTGTAACCGTGAAAACAACCTGTGAGAAACAGAAGGCACCATAGCACAGTGAAAGATCACAGCACCCAAGCTGTGTCCCAGTGCTTCCTGGGAGAGTTCAGTAGCCCAGACTGTGGGGGTGGGCATCTGGAGCCTGACAGTAGACTGGAGTCTTTCTGGGGGCTGCTGATGGGGTCATTCCTCCCTGGAACAGTGGAAAGAGGTCAGGTGCTTTGATGGTGGCTCCAGGTGAAAGGAGAAACAGCAAGGTAAGGCCCAGTGAGCTGAAGTCTGGGCTCAGGTGAAAACATCTACAAAGAGGGGGATGAGTCACCCTTGGCCTGGTTTCTCCCAGAGCCTAACCCAGAGGCAGTTCAGGGACAAATATGTGGTCATTGTGTCTAATGATCCCTCAGGTCCCTGGACACCTTTCTTCTGGGAACAAAAAGCAGGTGAGTTCACCTGCCTGCTACTTCTTGGAATAGGTGGAACCAAACTACCTATGCCCAGATGAGGCCTGGCCAGTAGGATCTGACCTTTGGTCAAGTGTCAGGGGCCTCCACCCCCTCTACCCACCTGTGGCTCTTACCTCTACATATGGGTAGAAGCTCTCCTGCCCCCTCTTCTTCCAGTAGCCCTCAGTGTCAAAGGACAGCTTGTAGGTGCCTGGCTTGAGCTGGCCTGGTTTCAGAAGCCCAGGGCAGCGGCCATCCATATCTGTGTGGCTAGAGAGAGGACAGGGCTTCAGAGATGGGACAAAAAGCCACCCTACCCCAACTCTCCTGAGTCTGCACCCCCAGGGGCCTCAGACTTATGCAGAAATGGGGAAACAGAGATGGGGAGAGGCTCTTAGGGATACTGCTATACTGCCCGGAAAGGCTCTGAGGGATACTACTATACTGCCCGGAAATGAACATAGAGAAGCAAAAAGGGAAAAAAATTTCCAATGTATTCTATGAGCAATAATTACTTTATGTTTGGCATATATTTTTCTAGATTTTCTCTCTGCCTAGATGTGTTTATTTACAAGTAAATATGTTTTTAACAAAACATAATACTATTTGAGCTGTTTTATAACCTGAGATTTTCATATGGCTTATTGTGCCTGGCTTTCTGGGTCAGTAATCACACCCATATGGTGGCCTGTTTTCAGCTACACTGAAGGTCCACATGGACCATCATCCAGAGTTCTGTTCCCTTACCATCGGAAGAGCTTTATAACATTCCAACCAGCTAGACAAGAGCTGAGGGTGTGCATGTATAGTGTGGGGATGGGAATGGGTCTGTGTGACCCTTTGTGGAACTCCTGGGCACCACAGCACCATGCTGACTTGAAGTGGCTGTTTCAGTGGGACCTGGCCCCTCACCACCAGCTGTTAGGAAGGGCTAAATGGGTAGGGCACCTGCCACACCTTTAGACCTTAATCTTTTGGGCTCAGCCACATCACTCCCATCCTGCTTCTTCTACTCAGGCTGAAAGGATGAGATCTGTCTCCTTGAGGGAAAGGGGAGCCTGCCTCCTTGAGAATCGAGGGTCTGGGGACCTGCTCACAGGGCCAACTCAAGGGCCTCTCCACCAGTCTCTACCTGAGGCAAGGGCAAGGGGAAGGGACCCAGCATCTGCGTCCTGTGTATACATGGTGGCTGAAGAGCCCAGTGCTCTATGGGTCTGACTTGAAATCCCAACTTTCCCCTTATTTCTTCTGCCTCAGTCTTCCCATCTGTAAATGCCTTCCCACAGGGTGTATGGAGAGTAGAAATAGAGGAATAGAGTGCTCAGTGTGCTGCCTAGCCCAAGGTTACCTGTAAATTGTGGCAATAGTGAGGTCTTCTAGGTTCCACATCAGGGCTTAACTCACAAGCACCCACAGGCTGTGGGCATGGCTGTCATGGAGAGACACAAACTTGGCTCCCACCTAGCAGGCCCACAGGGCTATGAGGAAGCAAAGCCTGGGCAGATGCTGTCTCAGCAAGTCCTACGGGATCCACCCAGGACTGGGTACCCAGTGAAACAGTTACTTTCAACAACCCTGTTTTCAAATGTGGAAACTGAGGCATGTAGAGTCAATAGGGAGGGGCCAAGCTGGGAACCCAGGCAGGCAGTGGGCCTCCAAGTCTGAGGGGACAGTTGGGCAGCAGTCAGCTCTGCTCTTCCTCAGGGCCCCTCCCACCCTGTCCCCAGGGGTACACAGGAAGAGCCCTGCATTGGAGGAGCAGGTGCTGTGGATTCCCAGCCTTTCTCAGGGCCACCTACCTTTTCCTCAGCTCTATCCACTGCTGGCCAAGGTCCTTCAGCTGGGACAAACGGAGGTAGAGGCCCCCAGCTGGGAGCCCAGAAGTGGTGTCTAGCACATGTGTGGTAAGTGGGCTGCTTCCAGACTCCATGTCACTGTTCTGGACCACAAGAGGGGCAGCGTGAGCTCCTGGGGGCTCAGCACAGGCACAGGCCTCTGTCCACACTTGCTGTGTGAGAGTAAACAGCCCAGCTGCTCAGAGGATGCACTGGGTACAAGGGTGACTGGAATTGCTGAGTCGTTAGGATGAGGATCCAGATGGTAAACAACCCGACCTGGGCCCTCTATGGTGCTCCATTGAGGACTCCGCTGCCCTCCCCAGGCCTTCAGTGCCTGCGGTCAACGGCCTTGTTTTCCCAGAACCCAGCTCTTCACGTGCATCCCTGCTTCCAGTGTCCCCCAGCACAAAAGGGGCACAGCCCCCAGGCAGATGAGGGGACAGGAACCCTGAGGGTCTCCGCCTGCTCCCCTTACTTGCGGGGATCCCAGGTGTCGCTGGAGCGTCAGCAGCTGCGGGGAGGCCCTGGAACTCATGTTCAGTGTTAGCTCCGATCTGCACTATGCCCACGGGCCGAGAGGATGCGCGGGCAGTGATTACCTGACCTTGCCACAACAAGCCTCTGCGGTCAGCCGGGCCCTGGCCCCGCCCCCAGCGCCCTGGAGTCATCTGTGTGACCAAACCTGAAGGAACTGCCCTGGCCCGCTGGGCGTCCAGGCTTCGGGCGAGGCTCCACCTCCATGATGGGGGTGTGGTGTTGGGATGGGCAGGGGCTGCAGACCTGCTGGGCCTTGGAGGCTTCCTGGGCGGAGATGGGGTCGTGAGGCGGAGTGGTGCGAGGGGGCGGAGACTGCGGGGCAGGTAGCAGGTTCTACTGTTCAGAGATCTGGATAAGCGGGTGTCCTGGGACAAAATTTTTAATAGAGCCCCCTCTGCTGGGCATGTAGAGTTGCCAGTTCTGACCAAGCCAACAAGCCACCTGATCTTGCCTCTGTTTCCTCGTCTACAACATGGAGCAAAAAGACTCCAAGATGTTTGCAGGTATAATAAGACAAGGGGAGTTCCTTGTCCGGCTCTCTGCCCTCTGTTACTCCTTACAAACAGGATAGGTGGGCCTTGATCTACAGAAAGCATAGGAGTATGAATGAGTCCTTGTATTAAAATTATATAACAGAGAACAAAGTTTGGGTGTATCATCTAATATAAAAAACAAGGCGTTCTCTATTTAAAACCTGGAATGATCTACACCATGATGTTGGTTACTGGCTGTTTTGCTCTGGCACAAGGCATTGTGATGCTTCATCTTGACTGTCAATTTAATTGCATTGAGAAATGCCCAGGAAATTAGTAAGACAAACTTCTGGACTTGTCTATGGGGTTGGTTCAGACATGACTGGCATTTGAGACAGCAAAGCAAGAAAGAGCCCTGCCCTGAATGTTGGCCCCATGCAATAGGCTGGGTGCCTGGATAGAACAAAAATGGAAGGAAACTGCCTGCTGGCACAGCCCTCAGTCTCTGCTTCTTGGCTGTCATGTGGGGCCACTGGCTTTCTTTGTCATGCACTCACACCTTGATGAAGCCTAAAAGCAAGCTCTCCAGGGACTGAAACCTCTGGAAGTGTGAGCCAAGTAAACTTTTCCTGTTTAAGTTGTTGTCAGGCATTTTCCACAGTGACAGAAAACTAGCACTGGGATCATTTTCTCCTTGCCGAATTTCATTTCTAATAATTCAAAAGTGAGCATGGGTTACTTGTAGGTTTGGAACCAGTCCTCTTCAGGGCAAGGGAAGGAGAATGTCTCAGCCAAGGCTGGCCATGTTCTGGTCAGAACCACTCTGGAGGTAAGTAGGAACATTTATTTGAGGTATAGACGCACATATTGCATGACTTCTATCTAAGGAAATGACCCAAAGAGATGTTATAGTAAATCCCTTGAGCGCCGGAGACCAGAAACAACCAGACTGACCTAACAGGTCAATTAAATAAGTTAGTCCATCACACAACAGATGCTTTTCTGATCTTAAGAGAAATAGGCTCATTTGTGTGTAAGAGGAGTAAGTCTCCTGAAAACAATATCTAGAGACAAAGGACAAAACAGCTTGTAAAAAGTGGGAAAGCAGTGAGGTATGGTGACATAAGCCTGTAATCCCAGCACTATGGGAGGCTGAGGGAAGAAGATTGCAATTTTGAGCTATGTGGGCAGTTTCAAGACTTAGTGAGACTCTGTTTCAACTAAAAAATTAAAAAGGGGCCAGTGTCGTAGCTCAGTGTGAAGGCCCTGGGTTCAATTCCCAATTTTAGGGGGAAGAGCAAGAGAGCTTGTACATTTATAGGTTCCACTGTATTACAAAAATTAGCTCACCTAACCCTCACAAGAACCCCATTATGTTATTATCCCCACTATTCAGAGGAAAAACTATTCTTGGAATATTTCTAGTAGGATGTACAAACAAACAAACAAAAAGCTAAGATAAGCATTTTTGGACAGGGGTAAATATTTTTCTTTAACCTTTTGTGTTCCTGTAATTTTTAAACTTGGGTGCGTATCACTTTTTAAAAAGTCTCAAATGCTATGTACTGACAAAAACAACAGTCAAACCTTTTTTTGGGAGGTGCCATTTACTCATATTCCCCTCCCCCAGACCTGACTCTGCCTTGTGGGAGGACCTAGTGGCAATGCATGGGGTAGGATGATTTGTCAGTATTCCTCTTGGGGCTTCTCCAAGCTGCTCCTCCTTCTTGCATCTACCCCTATGGAGGACTGCAGTGTCCCCTTTCCAGGTGTCTGAGACACTTAGTCATACCTGGATTTCCGACGCCTTGCTGTGCCTGAGAACTAAGGTCCTGACTAATTGTATCTCTGGGAACTTCCCTAATGAGAAGATAACCAGGCCCTGCACATCAGGGCTCTTATGACACCTTTAGGCAAATTTGAAAAAGATGCCTTATCCACTCCCTTCCCCCACCTTCTCTTAACATGGTGTCCTCCAGTTCTGTCCATTTTCCTTCAAAAGACAAGATTTTAGTCTACTTTATGGCCTAGTAATACCCCATTCAGTATATATATCATATTCATCTACTGATGGTCACCTAGGCTGTTTCCAGATTGGAAGCAAGGCTGAAGGACAAAGGATGATTATGCAAACTGGAGAACTGATGAAGAAGACAAGAGTGAAAGAGAGAAGGAAGAAATAAAAATAGGAACAGAACACACATACACACATAGAAACAATATTCACACATATATAAACGAGAACAAACAAGAAAGAAAACAAAATTAGGAAAAGGAAAAAATGTCCACTTCAAGGCATGTCTCTGCTATCACTGGTAGACAAATTGGGCACACAGAGCCCAGATCCACACTGATTAATCCCAATGAGCCAGCTGTAGATGTACAGTGGGGTAGCAGATAATCCCAGCAAGCCTACACCTTTACTTCTGAAGCTCAGGCTGGTTTCTGGCTGTGGAACCCTATTTGCTCAGACAGCAACACTCCATGTGTCTCCTGCTGCCTTGAACTTGGCTCTTTGACCTTCTGCGGACTTCAACTTGGTTCTGCCTCACCCTGATGGAGCCAGTCCAGAGCTACTCAGAGTTCTGAGCTCATTTGGGCTCTCTGCATGATTGCTACCAGCCAGTCACCCTCTCCAGGGGGAAATCTGAACCTGAATAATTCACCAGCTGCTGCAGTCTGCTGCATCCACTGCTATGTTCCATTGGTGCATTTCTCCATGGAGGCCTCTGGATTTGCCAGTGGTCATCATGTATCTGCAGGTTTGAGCCACCCTTCCCATGCAGTGAGTCAGGGCTCAGAGAGAAACTGCCACTCACCACCTCCTTTTTCTTTGTTGAAGTCTCTTTTTGCTCTTCCTGTGGGCTTCAGTTGTTGATTCAAAGCCTTGCTGGGTCCGGTGACCCACTTCCCTTCTCCTCTTACTCATGTTGCTATATTCCAGCAACTGGACACCAAATCTAGAGTCTGTCTCTGTGCTGTTCACCACTTCACCATCTTCCCAGAAGTCCCCTGTGTGCATTTCTCCATCTGACCCCTCTCCCCTTTTATGGAGACAGAGGGCTTTTAAAATGTAGCTTTTATAACTTTGCATTGGATAATTTAACTTTATGGATTAGATTGAATGAATTTTTGTCTAAGCCATGAAATTTGTGCCTAGGTTTGCTTTTTCTGTGTTGTTTTCATACAGTTTACTTTCCCTATAGTTATTTTGTGGCCATTTGTGGAACTGGCTTATCCTATTCTATGGCATTGACTTTGTCACTTTGATGTAATTAATTGATTGTATCTACATGGGTCTATTTTTGGGCTCTCTATTCTGTTCTGCTTGCCTATTCATCTATTTCTTCTTCAATAAAAACCACACCCCCTTTACTACTGTAGTTTTATGATAAGTGCTAGAACCAGATATGTGGGTTCTTTAATTGTTTTCCATATCATCTTATACCATCTCCTCTGTCTAGGCTTAGAAAAAATATTTTTGGTATCTTTGCTGGAATTTTTTTTTTCAGTACCAGGGATCAAACCCAGGACCTTGCACTTGCCAGGCAGGCACGGCACCACTGAGCTACATCCCCAGAACCTTTGCTGGGAATTTTATTGGGATACTGTTGCATCTATAGATCAAGTTAGAACAGTGACTGTATTGCTCCTAAATAAGGAATATCTTCAAATTTGGTTATATACGGTTCTAATTTTTCTGAATACACATTGGTATATATTGTTAGATGTATACTCCAGTACTTCCATTTTTGGGCTTCTATTGTGTGATGGTTAACGGACTGTGTCAATTTTGGTGATAAATGCTCAACTAAAATGACTCAGCATAATTCTGGGTGTGGAAAGCTTACCCTAGGGAGGATTGCCACCAGAATAATGTAAAGGGAAAACAAAGAAGGAAGGCTTGCTTCTGTTTCTTCAGAAGAGCTCATCTTTGCCTTCACCTTGAATGTCATTTCCTGGCTTCCGTCACAGACCCTTCAGCCCTCTATTGCAGATCCTTTGGCCTCCAGATACGGACTCATACGGAAAACACTGAGCTTCAGGCCTTCAACTAGATCTTTTGCACTCTTCCACACCTGACTCTGTGGGCGGCCATTGTAAGCCAGTCTTGTAAATTCTTATATATTTGTATATCTTGCATTCAATCTGTTTTTCCAGTAAGCACTGATACATATTTTGAATGGTGAAAATATTTTGAAGTTTCAAATTCCAATTATTATGTTGCCAACATATAGAACATCAATTTTTTGTCTCTTGTTATCTCTACCTCTGTTGGTCTATTTTCTGTTACTATTCCCAAATAATTCATAAGAAAAATAAATTAATTTTCAAGTTCTGAAGGCTAGGAAGTTAAGAGCCTACTTGTGGTTTGGAACACTCTTCAAAGTCCTGAGGCAGGGCTATGCATTACTTGCTTGGTGAGACCAAGTGTGCCTGGAGAGAGCCTGGTTTTACAACAAAGCAACATTGATTCATCCTTGAATAGATTAATCCATTCATGATGGCAGAGTCCTCAATACCCAATCATCTCAAAGGCCCCACTTAAAAATATCATTAACATATG